TTCGCACGATAGGAAAGTTGGACGAAATAGCTATCGCATATTTTTGCGCACGTGGTGCGATTCTACGACTGCGTCAATCCAAACTGCACGAAACAAAAGTAGAAAAGGATAGACAAAGCCTGATGGGAAGGTGTACAAACCCGCCAGTAGTTCTAATAATATTTAGCGTTGAATTAAACCAATAGCATTGCTGTTGAACCCCACAGGGATGAAAACTTCATTGTACAGTATGTAATGTTGAATATGGATTGAATGTTAAGTCTTTAGGTTCAAATTCATGATTTAACCTTGAATTCAAACGCATGTCACCATCGACGTCGGATAGATTTTACGTAATTGGGATAAAATGCACATACTTATTGATTTAACGATGCGATCAATGTTTCCGATTATCAGTGCTTGGTAAAGGACAAAACCCGACATTCTGTCAGGAGCGTCACTTTGTCATTAACTACAGATCCGCGAGATTGGATGTAGGGACGATAATGACGAGTTTCAAAATCACTCAGGCAATAATTGAAAAACGTTTGTACAAGTAATGAGTTGTAATCAAAGTTAGCCTCTGTCGTCGGTGTCAGGAAATAATCTGTTTGTCTTTGTCCGTCTGTCTGTGTCTCGGTCTGTTTGTCTCTGTCTCTCTGCCTGTCCCACTCTTTCTGCCTCTGTGTTTGTCTGCCTTACTCTCTCTGTATCGTTGTCTCTCCCCCCTTAATCTCTCTCCACCCCTCCCCCCTCTCTCTCTCTCTCTCTCTCTCTCTCTCTCTCTCTCTCTCTCTCTCTCTCTCTCTCTCTCTCTCTCTCTCTCTCTCTCTCTCTCTCTCTCTCTCTCTCTCTCTCTCATGGTGTAAATGTGCATGTGGTCGTAAATAGATAATTCATCTACATATTTCAAACATGTAATCTTCGCTGACATGGTTTAGTGTAAAGGACAACTATTGGTATACGATAGACACAATATATAGCTGCCATAGAGATACAGGTATTGGAAAGCAAAACCAAACAAACAAACAAAATGAAAACTGAATAATCGTTAGTGAAAAATATCAATGAAAATGCCCTTTTTAGGAATATCTAGTTTCCACGAGCTAAATGCACATTTTAGACAAAATCGAACATAATTTTCGATAGTGAAAAAATTGTTATCATCTTCCTCGTTATGGCACCAAGCAGAGCCTTTGCACGTGAAAACAGATGAATTAATAAGAAATTCTCTTTAGCAGAGCCGATAGGAAGCAGATTTTATGTTTCCAGAGAAACACAATGATAAATGAAGTTGTAAGTGTAATCGCCGAGTTGACATTTCCGATGTTGTTTTAGAAATTATTCAACAAATGCCAACTGGGACAGCTCAGAGAATAGTGCACGGCTTTGTAACGTGTCATATCCCGTGGGACAGGGAGATTTGAAATAAGTCTTGATGTGGGCGGGAAATCAATACACGTAAATCACAAATTACTGAACAGTATATTGCAAATGATAAGCTTCATGGAAAACATTACTGTTTAAAAAAGAATTATGTATACGTAGCAATATATATTCTATCTACATTCTTTATTTCACAATAGAAGCAATACTATACGTTATTTCCGTGTCAGCGATGTGTTGCTTTATCTGGTATAATGTCCTTGACTTCCGATTCTGCTGGATGTATATGATGGAGGTCAACAATACATTTCTTGTTATTTAAAGACAAGACGCCATTAATATATCTGAAATTAAAATCAAACGACTTTTCAAGGTCTTTGTGACCTAATTTGATAAACACTTCAATCTATTGAACCTCGTATGAAAACAGAAACAAGGCAGCCAACAGCGGGACACAGTTAATTCTCATAGGTATGTCAGCAATATGGTGGAAGATCTTACCATCAAACTCGAGTAAGATTTTGTCACCCATTTCTCCTTTGATGTGGACGTTTTCTGGACATACGCTTCAGTATAGTACACAACCATATATTTATTCCGCCGGTCATCTTACTAGGAGAAGAAAGCCCTCATAACAAGAGACCGAAGGCATGCCTTCAGTGTAGAATGGGGGATGGTGGTGTACAAAGTGGAAGAATAAAATAGTCTTACCGAAGTAATGCTTTTTAGAAGAGGCTATTGAAGATTGGCCAAAAGCTCTAAATTTTGGACGCCTTATCTCCAGACACAATAACAATAACCTTTCATGTAAATCTGGAAGTGTGAACTTAACATCAGGATCGAGGAAATCTGATCTGTATTCTGTTTTTACTTTAGATTTTAAGCTTCAAAATCGTTTACGAATAATGGACCTATTGGACTTAAACTACTCAGAATGTTAACACAGCATGTTCTCATTTCACCCACTCTCTAATTAATTTAATTCCATTTAATGGATGAAGTTTCACAATATGTAGGAGCCTTCAGCAGCGTTGTGAAAACAATCACATCCGGTACAGCATAGTGAAAATAATCACAGCCGGTACAGCACAGTGAAAATAATCACAGCCGGTAAAGCATAGTGAAAATAATCACATCCGGTACAGCATAGTGAAAATAATCACAGCCGGTAAAGCATAGTGAAAATAATCACATCCGGTACAGCATAGTGAAAATAATCACAGCCGGTACAGCACAGTGAAAATAATCACATCCGGTACAGCATAGTGAAAATAATCACATCCGGTACAGCATAGTGAAAATAATCACATCCGGTAAAGCATAGTGAAAATAATCACAGCCGGTACAGCATAGTAAAAATAATCACAGCCGGTACAACTTAGTGAAAAAAACCACAACCGGTACAGCATAGTGAAAATAACCACAACCGGTACAAGTTAGTGAAAATAATCACATCCGGTACAGCACAGTGAAAATAATCACAGCCGGTACAACTTAGTGAAAAAAACCACAACCGGTACAGCATAGTGAAAATAATCACATCCGGTACAGCATAGTAAAAATAATCACAGCCGGTACAACTTAGTGAAAAAAACCACAACCGGTACAGCATAGTGAAAATAATCACATCCGGTACAGCATAGTAAAAATAATCACAGCCGGTACAACTTAGTGAAAATAATCACATCCGGTACAGCATAGTAAAAATAATCACAGCCGGTACAACTTAGTGAAAAAAACCACAACCGGTACAGCATAGTGAAAATAATCACATCCGGTACAGCATAGTAAAAATAATCACAGCCGGTACAACTTAGTGAAAATAATCACAGCCGGTACAGCACAGTGAAAAAAATCACAGCCGGTACAGCATAGTGAAAATAACCACAACCGGTACAACTTAGTGAAAATAATCACAGCCGGTACAGCACAGTGAAAATGATCACAGCCGGTACAGCACAGTGCAGCATAGTGAAGCATTTTTTTCTATCTGTACATCTTGATCTTATAAAAGTGATTGATGACATTCTCATTGATAATGTATAAAATTTACTGCAAACGTTTATGTTCTAGCGGTAGACAAATTTTAGCGATTTTCGTATAGTCGTTGTCTTTAACTATGAATGCGCTGATTCTTTTTTCTATATGGCGTTCATATACCTGTTAATGTGATGTGCTACTTCAGCAATTGCGTTTATATGTCAACAAATGATTATACGCTAATATTTGCTTGTGCCTTATTGAATACGTTTGTACAACAATGTAAAAGCTATCAATCTTTCAGGAGCTTTATTTTCGATAGTTTCGTGGACCCTATTAATCCACGAAGTTATAATGTCCCCGAACTGTTGAAATATACATAGGTTGTTGATTCATTGAACCATAAAATAAAGTGTCAACAAAAAAATGATAAAAAAAGAAAGCAAATTATAACCGGAAAAATTTCGCCCCACGAATATATAAGATTTTACATTATACAATGTAGTCTTTGATCGGTACATTCGAGTCGACATCAGAGCCATTGTAATATAAATGTAACTATTTATAAACATTTTCTAATTTATTGAGATAGTGTTGGACGAACAGTACAAAAGGCATTAAAGTGTATAATACCTTTCAATGCAAATTTGCAATTAGTCAGGTTTATTTCAAATATTGAGATAGATCTCAACATACAGTTATTTCGTACTTATACGGCTCGTCATTGATTCTCGGGTAAAGTTTTCAGAGCGAGCTAACGATATAAAAACTAGCAGCAATGAATTTACCTATCATAGCATTACCTCTAATAGGGTTGGACATGATCTGTTTTACAAATAGTATACGTTAGTCATCAAAATGACGTCACAGTCAAATTACTTACCCCGACTAAGATAAGTAAATTATATAGCAATTCTAGCCTTCATTAAAAGTGATTTTTACCTCGACGTTTGGCCTCGCGTATCACTTTTTGTTGGATAGTAAAACTTTGTGTTATCCTAATATAACGACAATAGTCGTTTTAGTGGCACGACATTCACAGAACAACGCCTACAACCTAGGTGTTTTTGCTCGCGGTATGTTTATAACCGTGCTTTGAAATATTCCCTTGTTTCCCATTAATGATATCTAAACGTATTGTGCCACACGCTGCTTTTATCTCATACATGTCTGCAATGTTGTTTGTTTCTAATTTAATTGAAAAAACTCCATGTCAGAGAAATCCCCTGGTAGTGATTTCGGATCCAGCTTATTATTAGACTGGAGGAGTTTTAACAGATTATGTATGTTCGCCGTCCGTATGATCACCACCATCAGAGAAAGGGCTAAGTATACGGTAACAGCAAGAAAATACCAAAATGTGGACGGACTCATCATTAAAACTCAAAATTAATAAAACTAGGGCAAAATATGAATAAAAGAAAGATTTATACGGAGACTCCTGAAAAAGCTGTGTTCCGGAAGAGAACGCGTCCTCCGCTTCATTGTCGACATCCCCTTAATTAATATTGATTTTAAAAGTACCATAAGTTGAAGCCTTCGTCTTCTAAGCTACTTAGCACTCCTAGATCTAATATTACAGACAACAGATACCAAGTTATGATGTATGTGAAAAAAAGGAGCAGTTGAAATATACAATTTCTGCTTCATTTCAGGTCGTTCTAAATGGAGGAGACAAGAGTGATTTTCAGCAAGAAAGGTTTAAAACGTAACGGCTACACAACACACGATGACGTAGACAGCAATTATCATGACGTAGATAACAATTATGAGGACTGGGAACGCGAGTATTACTCGGATGAAGATGATGTATTTATGGAAGGGCCGAAGATGGACAAAGTATCTGCGTCAAAACCACTCATGCATCCTCGACAAAGGCCAAAGGTCAAAAGCAGAACGCCGAACTGTCGATGTCGCAAACAGTTAAAAACCATCACGTGTTTTTTAGTTATAGTGCTATCTCTAGGGTCATTAATGACAATGATAATATATTTATACAACAAACATCCGGAAAAAACGAAAGACAAGAATGGACCGGATATAGAATCTCAATCATCAAATATACCGGAAGTAGTTGGCTGTGATTCTTTAAGTGTGGAAGATGTTTGGGTAATGGGGTTTCCTAAATTGATAACAGAGTCTGCCTTCCGCTTAGTAGACGTCAACCAGGACGGGGTTCTTGATATCATCTTGGGATTTGGTACAGGTAAATATATGAACTCCTCACAACTTATTATACCCTCCGTACAGGTAAATATACACTCTACACCAGTAATTATACCCTCCGTACAGGCAAATATACACTCCACACAAGTAATTATACCCTCCATACAGGTAAATATTCACTACAGACAAGCAATTATACCCTCCGTACAGGTAAATATACACTACAGACAAGTAATTATACCCTCCGTACAGGTAAATATACACTACAGACAAGTAATTATACCGTCCGTACAGGTAAATATACACTCCACACAAGTAATTATACCGTCCATACAGGTAAATATACACTACAGACAAGCAATTATACCCTCCGTACAGGTAAATATACACTACAGACAAGTAATTATACCGTCCGTACAGGTAAATATACACTACAGACAAGTAATTATACCGTCCGTACAGGTAAATATACACTCCACACAAGTAATTATACCGTCCGTACAGGTAAATATAACTACAGACAAGTAATTATACCCTCCGTACAGGTAAATATACACTCCACACAAGTAATTATACCCTCCGTACAGGTAAATATACACTACAGACAAGTAATTATACCTTCCGTACAGGTAAATATATACTACAGACAAGTAATTATACCGTCCGTACAGGTAAATATACACTCCACACAAGTAATTATACCGTCCGTACAGGTAAATATACACTACAGACAAGTAATTATACCCTCCGTGCAGGTAAATATACACTCCACACAAGTAATTATACCCTCCGTACAGGTAAATATACACTACAGACAAGTAATTATACCGTCCGTACAGGTAAATATACACTACAGACAAGTAATTATACCGTCCGTACAGGTAAATATACACTCCACACAAGTAATTATACCCTCCGTACAGGTAAATATACACTACAGACAAGTAATTATACCCTCCGTACAGGTAAATATACACTACAGACAAGTAATTATACCGTCCGTACAGGTAAATATACACTACAGACATGTAATTATACCGTCCGTACAGGTAAATATACACTACAGACAAGTAATTATACCGTCCGTACAGGTAAATATACACTCCACACAAGTAATTATACCCTCCGTACAGGTAAATATACACTACAGACAAGTAATTATACCCTCCGTACAGGTAAATATACACTACAGACAAGTAATTATACCCTCCGTACAGGTAAATATACACTCCAAACAAGTAATTATACCCTCCATACAGGTAAATATACACTACAGACAAGTAATTATACCCTCCGTACAGGTAAATATACACTACAGACAAGTAATTATACCGTCCGTACAGGTAAATATACACTCCACACAAGTAATTATACCGTCCGTACAGGTAAATATACACTACAGACAAGTAATTATACCCTCCGTACAGGTAAATATACACTCCACACAAGTAATTATACCGTCCGTACAGGTAAATATACACTACAGACAAGTAATTATACCGTCCGTACAGGTAAATATACACTACAGACAAGTAATTATACCGTCCGTACAGGTAAATATACACTCCACACAAGTAATTATACCCTCCGTACAGGTAAATATACACTACAGACAAGTAATTATACCCTCCGTACAGGTAAATATACACTCCACACAAGTAATTATACCGTCCGTACAGGTAAATATACACTACAGACATGTAATTATACCGTCCGTACAGGTAAATATACACTACAGACAAGTAATTATACCCTCCGTACAGGTATATATACACTACAGACAAGTAATTATACCCTCCGTACAGGTAAATATACACTCCACACAAGTAATTATACCCTCCGTACAGGTAAATATACACTACAGACAAGTAATTATACCCTCCGTACAGGTAAATATACACTACAGACAAGTAATTATACCCTCCGTACAGGTAAATATACACTCCACACAAGTAATTATACCCTCCGTACAGGTAAATATACACTACAGACAAGTAATTATACCCTCCGTACAGGTAAATATACACTACAGACAAGTAATTATACCCTCCGTACAGGTAAATATACACTACAGACAAGTAATTATACCCTCCGTACAGGTAAATATACACTCCACACAAGTAATTATACCCTCCGTACAGGTAAATATACACTACAGACAAGTAATTATACCGTCCGTACAGGTAAATATACACTACACATAAGTAATTATACCGTCCGTACAGGTAAATATACACTACAGACAAGTAATTATACCCTCCGTACAGGTAAATATACACTCCACACAAGTAATTATACCCTCCGTACAGGTAAATATACACTCCACACAAGTAATTATACCCTCCGTACAGGTAAATATACACTACAGACAAGTAATTATACCCTCCGTACAGGTAAATATACACTACAGACAAGTAATTATACCCTCCGTACAGGTAAATATACACTACAGACAAGTAATTATACCGTCCGTACAGGTAAATATACACTACAGACAAGTAATTATACCCTCCGTACAGGTAAATATACACTCTACAGAAGTAATTATACCCTCCGTACAGGTAAATATACACTCCACACAAGTAATTATACCCTCCGTACAGGTAAATATACACTACAGACAAGTAATTATACCGTCCGTACAGGTAAATATACACTACACATAAGTAATTATACCGTCCGTACAGGTAAATATACACTACAGACAAGTAATTATACCCTCCGTACAGGTAAATATACACTCCACACAAGTAATTATACCCTCCGTACAGGTAAATATACACTCCACACAAGTAATTATACCCTCCGTACAGGTAAATATACACTACAGACAAGTAATTATACCCTCCGTACAGGTAAATATACACTACAGACAAGTAATTATACCCTCCGTACAGGTAAATATACACTACAGACAAGTAATTATACCCTCCGTACAGGTAAATATACACTCTACAGAAGTAATTATACCCTCCGTACAGGTAAATATATACGACGGACAAGTTATTATACTCTCAAATTCAGACGGATTTGCTTTCCAGACAGGTAGATTTACTCCACGTACAGGTAAATACTGTATAATCTCCGGACAGGTAAATCTCTACAGGTAATTAGTTATGTCCGTAAAGTTTAATATACTTATGGAATAGGTATTCTCTCATTTCGTCTAAGATAAGTAAACAAATTGCCCTGACAGATAGTAAACCTACCAACCCAAACCCCACTCCTTCGCCCTTGTGCAAATAATATTATCTCCACACCTTCAATATTCTAAATGTTTTAAATCCCACATGTGAAAATATATTGACCAATTGTGTGGTTCTGAATTTCAATATCCCAAATGCAGTGTTAATTTGATTCATCGCATTGAATGCGTTCATGAAATAGTCTTAGTTTAAAATTGAACATTCAGACAAAAACACGTCAATCAAAGTTTATTTCCCGAAGAAAGTACAAACATTCTGAAACCTTTTAACAATGAAATGCCGGAATATCACAAATTATCCCCTAAGTAACGTATGTCATATTCCGGGGTTCGCGTGGTTCAGATATTTGTAGTTTAGTAATACATATCGACCTCCACGCGCCGATTCCGTATCCAGAACAGGGAAAATCATGACATATGCTATGTTTTGTTTCTGAACATTTCAATTTACATTGTGTATTTGCGCCAAATGAAAAATTTGACGAAAACTCGGTATCAAGGATTTGTAAGACAGTTAATTTACCTGTGTTTTTGATATTTCTATTACAGGAGCAGATGGCTACTATCTTCCGGACATTGTCTGTGATATATATTTCAATGGAACGCATCCATGTTTTGGTGGATTGATGGCACTTGAGGGCGCGACTGGTCGTGAACTTTGGCGCCATTATTCGCCGCACGAGTTCTTTGGCGTGAATTGTAATGCTGATTTGAACAAAGATGGCGTTCTCGATTGTCTGGCTGGGGGTCGTGCAAATGTATGTACTGTCACATTATCTGTTTAAGCTGAATTATATACATTTTAAGAGATTGATATACTTTCTATGTATAAGGATGCCTAACACTCATTAAGATAATATTGTAATAATGTTTTAAGCCAAGCCTTCGTCGTATAAAATACACACATGATGTACACATTGAATCCTACGTTGTAATTATAGTGTACACAATACATGCTAATTAAGATCTCTGATTTAAAGTCAAAAATATATTTATAGAGCCCTCTTAGTGTTTGTCCATAGTTCAAATTACAACTCATACCTATAAAAGCACACTTCATTAAGTCAAGGGAGATAACTCTCACTATAATTCACACAAACCAGGCTTTCCAGGCTGTAAGTGGCCGGGACGGCTCGTTGTTGTGGAATTTTGACTATGGTAAGGAAGATATCATGAACCTGTACACTCCTCAAATAATTCGAGACCTCGATGGAGATGGAACAGCGGATATACTAACCATGCACGGAGGCGATCCGTTACAAGAACCAGGCAAGTGCGCATGTCACTAAAAACCATTGCCGTTAGTACCCTGTTATACTACACGGTCGATCAACCAATGAAATAATCCAACAGACGATCTTATAGGACAGTCTTATATTTAAAGATACCGACGATAATGTTATAATATCCTCTAACCAAATCAATATATCTTACAAAGACGTAAAGCTGTACACTTTTTGATAGTTGCTGATTAATTTAATACACAATTTTCTGTCATTTACATCAATACGACAAAAATGTTTTATTATTTCGTTAACAAACACGAAACGAATATTTCAGTATATCTTCGATCGTTACAGGTAGCAAGTACAGACTATCGGCGCGGATTATATTATTCAGCGGAAGGACGGGACAAATAATAAAGAAAATTGGCGTGCCTGATTACCGTGAGTCGTATTATTCCCCGCAGCTGTACACGATGTCTGATGGTACAGACATTGTTCTGTTCGGGACTGGGGGCGAGACACACCCGGGTAGTTTGTGGAGCATCACGCTTGACAAACTGTATCGTGGAGAAATTAAAAGTGTGAGTAATATAAAAAAAATGTTGAAGTGAAGTTGTAATAACACAACACAAAAATGTCTTGTTTCTGAAGACCTACATCTGTATCGGCTAAACACATGTATCCATTTTATGCAGTTTAGACAGTAAGTCTTTTCCTGACGCCCTGGTACATCTAGCTGAAGTTAGCTGAAGGGGGTTGGGGGTGAGGAGGATTGGTTGGTGTGTGTCTTACAGAAATCATTGTCATATGGTGACGCCTCATGGAGCTGTGACGTCACAGTTAAAACAGTCAGATCATTCAGCCAAACACAAATTCATTCAAAAGTTCCCTAAGATTGGTTACATCACAATCTATTACCCTGATTTGTTTACAAAGGTGTGAGTCATGTCGAGGGATTCTTACATGTACCAGAAATACAGCGAAATAAAATTTTCTTGTGTATTTATATCACATTACGTCGTCATGACTTCAACATTCATGAGATTTCGGGAACTCACTCCAAAATGTCTAGAACATCAGAATGACCTCAGTTCAGTAGTTTATCAAACTAATTTGAATACTTCATTTCACTTTAGAGTTGATTGAGCATAATGAAATGGTACCATTTGTGTATGTGTGTTTTAAAATCTATCAATATCATTTTTTCTCTCTCAATTTTTGTTTTTGTTTGTTTTTTTTTAATCCCTTTACAGTCTCGACTCGTATACACTGACGAGTTTAAGGGGATCATGACGCCGCCAGTGTTACTGGACCTGACTGGAGACGGCGTGGATGATATCGTCATGGCAATGTTTAACTCCTCCGTTCTGGCGATAGATGGCGCCACATACAGCGTCCTGTGGAACAGAACATTCCCATGGTCTGAGTCGTACAAGTAAGTTTTTAAAGTCACCGTCTTTTTTTCAGTATTAATGGAAATTCTATTTCCATTCGCAGAAATAAAATTGTTAAAAATATGAGCTGACTCAGACCTTGGAACAAAAACGATGTCACGTGGTTAAATATCTGGTAGACATGTTTACATTATCTTGTAGAAATATGACGTAACATAGATAGGGAATGGATGGTCAGTGTCTCAAAAAGTCAGCTGTATTTTGGCGAGGATTGAGAAAGACAAAAGAGGCGAACCCCTGGCGAACCACTTTTATCTTATTGTCCCGAGTCAAAACGTAGCTTATATTTTAAGACACTGACCATGTATTTTATTTATCATGCAGCACTGATTGAAAATCAGACTATTGAAACTAAAACACTTTTGTTGTTCAATCTGTTTATCTGATATCGACGTTACACTGAACTTTGCCTGATTACGGCCGCCAAAGTAATTGCTCCGCACGGAAATATAGTTCCAAACATAATCAAATATAACAGCGATCTTATGAATTTTCATAAGTCAGCTTGTACATTACAACATGTTAATTATCATATTTCAACAACTGTCTATATTTCTAAACTTAATATTTAAGTAGATTCAGAGAGTTATTCTGTCAAATTACCGCACGTGCTAAAATACAGCCCTGTTTTCCGTCACTGCTGAATACAGCATAAATATATGTGGAAGGTGTATTCCGACAACGGTAGTTCCAGTTGTAGGATAAACGTCAAACTTCTTCTACTTCTTTACACAAACTGTTACCTTTACCTGTACGTTTATGTCTGTAGTACTCCAGCTCCCGGGTTCTACAACACGGATGACGTACCAGATTTCATGGTCAAGTATGCTCACGGCCCAGGCTTCCCTATCTACTACCGGTCACAGGTACGTCACTTCCGTTTCATTGACTTCTACATAAGTCGTTAGGCAATTTATTGTAGGTATCGGAAGGTCTTTTCTATTATTTTCTATGTTTTCTGGACGTACAAAGTATTGTCTATGTTTGTTTTGTACTGTTTTACTGCATTGTAGTAACTAATTGAGCTTTACACTGAAATAAGAACGAGGATTAAAACCCATTAAAACAGATTGGAGTTTTTAAAATAAAAACAAATATGGTTGAGAAGATCGCCAATTTGCATATTTTATCATTTTATTAAAGAGCAGTTTTCATTTATGTCAGCAGGTTGCCACGATATTTTCTTTTTACTTTACAAGAAGCTATGGAAATTTTGAAAAAAGAAAATCATGTTTAAGTCCTTCAAATTTTTGAGATACGCAGATCTATTCAAACATCCTTTACAATCCAAATTTAACGATAAATAAAAAGGTATTGTTTAGCATTATTTTAAAGAATTATTTTCAAAATACATTTAAAAACATTCAATAATTGAACTTAAAGATATGTGATGAAATTCCTGGCCGTGTTTTAGACGACCGTATTGGATGGGCGAACAGGGAAATCCCTCCTGGAACAACCCATGTGGGATACAATAGGGGCCCAGGCTTCACCTCTCACCATCAGCATGGAGGGTACAGGGAATGACATCTTTCTATATTGGATGTCGGATTGTCTTGGGCACGAGGGAGAAGGAGGAGAGTTCAAATTTGTGGAAGGTAAACATTATAGAACAACCACAAATAGTATCCTTATAAGGAAGTTAGCAACACTACTAACACTTTTCTGCAAGAGTTTGGGAATTCTGTTTGGAAAGTCTGAAAGTTACTGTATACGTCCATATTTTAGTGGTATTTCAGCGCTCTGTTTTGATAGTATTATGTAAAGTATGTTTACAATATACAGATTTTGGACGGCTTGTTTGTTAGTGATGTTTCATTCTCGCTACGGCCAGGGTTATATGGACACGTGTCTGCTAATGAGGGTGTCGTTGACGCGTCTGATTTTAGTGTCAACACACTGAAATGTCGTAACATTGACATGGTAGTGTGACACACCACCCGGTCACTTTACTTTGTACACTGTACAGAGACACTTCTACAGTGTCAACACACTATAATGTCGTAACATTGACACGATAGTGTGACACACCACCCGGTCACTTTACTTTGTACACAGTACAGAGACACTTCTACAGTGTCAACACACTGAATGTCGTAAAATTGACACTGTAGTGTGACACATCACCCGGTCACTTTACTTTGTACACAGTACAGAGACACTTCTATAGTGTTATCACATTGAAATGTCGTGACTTAGACATGGTAATTGGCATACCACCCGGTCACTTTACTTTGTACACAGTGCAGAGACACTTCTATAGTGTCATCACACTGAAATGTCATAACCTCAACACGGTAGTATGACACACTACATTTTAACACCACACTAACAGCGTGCTCGCCGTAAATTTAACGTTCTTGTAGAAATCTGTGGTATAGTTTTCCTTTCTATGGATGTTTGTGATTGCGACTGCGTCTCTCAATATCTTTTTCTTTTCTACCAGGTACTAATGTTCACGAACAATCCCGTGCTGACTTCTGTCGACTGCGATTTAAATCAAAAGGTTACAGCAAAATTTTGGCTCTTAGTCGGAATATAAAATCACCGGGGCATAAAGTTTACTATTCTGGTAAGTTACCGCTTGATTACATGAACATTCAAATCTAATAGATATTATATAAATTCATCACACCGCTGAAAATATGACCATATAAGGATATAAGGTATGAGAGGCGTGCACATTCACGTAAGCCGCCTTGTAATAGTGCAGAACTGAAGTCGACTTTATAGTGTTAGCACACTGAAGTTTACCGTCGAAGGCCAGCAGAAGGACATCTAACTCGTTCCCATTAATTAATTAGTTCTACTAAGTCATGTTTTAAAATTTGTATAAAACGAGAATCTTACTGTATTATAATGCTAAGCATTTAGCAGAGAGTTGAACTGAAAATTGTCGATCGTTGGCGAACAGGTAGCTCAACATTGGTAAGCTGTATGTCTACAATTCGGAGGGTCTCGGTCCAAGCCCCGGTCTGTCCGTGCATTTTCACGCAACTACATATTTGGTGCCGTGACCAGGATTTAGATAAAAGGCGATAGTTCGAATCAAAATCGAGGACAGTATTACTTCGTTCTATAATATTAATTCTACTATCTAATAGATTTTTTTGTTGTTGTAGACGAACGGAAAGAAATAGAAAAGAGCAAATGGATCAACACTTCAGCCGAGGCACTCGACTTTCTACGTTCACATCCAGAACAACTACAGAGTTATATGGATCTTCAGGAAGAAACGCGTCAGACCGAAATGGAGAGACCTGTTTACAAGGTAACCATGAGAGAATGCACGGGGAAGGTAGGGATGTTTACATTTGGATTACACTAGCGAATACAAAACCGTGTTTACAAAATATACGGTGAAAACCGAGGAATTTCATGAAAGATTTGTAAGCAACGACCATTGTATCACGAGTCGCTATATAGGAAGGAATTCGGACTAACGACCACGGCAAAGCTAAAATTGTGGATAGATAGCTAGAACCATGAAGAGTAGATAAACATAATACACACATGTGGCATGCATACCTATCACATGTTTAAACTGCTTCATAATCAATATTTGGTACTAGAGCGGTCAGTGTCAAAAAGCAAACAGATAATTTGTTTTTAATAATCCTACCGGGCCTATTGTTTACACAGAATCCGGAATCCGGGATATGTTTCGACCTTATCGATATCTGAAATTTTACATGTTATATCGAGTTTAAATCAATAATGGGATACATTTCCTTTCAATTTAGGATCGGGAATTGGAAGGAGAATATATTTACAACCCACCACCAGCTCAACAAAGACTGAGAACCACTTCAAAGAAAGGACCACCAGTTAATATCCCTTACAGGACTGACTCATTTCCATCAGCTGCTGTCAGGGAACAAACCGGAAGTTACATGGACCCAGCTATCTATGACGATATCAATGACGTCATGCAGAATGTGGCAGCGAGTGACGATTACACTGAAATTCCTTATTACCAGAAACCTTACAGAAATGGTTACCCTGGATACGATAGCTCATCACCTCGTTATAGGCAACGTGGCAGAGTTAATAATGGACATCAGCCAAGAAGATTGAATACAATAGAACATATGAGACACAGACGAATAAGTAGAAATAGTCTACAGCAAAAAGAAGTTAGCCAGAAAGTATCTGATTTACTTCATTCTAAAAAATTACATCATTCAGTTAAAAGGAATAATAATTACCGGAAACGGAAACGACGCCATGTTGGACCACACGACGAGGATGGCCTACAGCGACTACTGTCCACTGGTACACTTGCTCCTACAACCTTACCTCGTAGCCACCCAGACTATGACCATTCCATAGACTTCGTATTCGCGACGTATTGGTTCTTTCCCGCCAAAACTCAGGTCATACTTCCAGCAGACCAGAAATGTATAGATGGAAAAATGGCAAAGGAAAAGATCAGATTTAGCCCAAGAAGTAGGTTGGATATTTCTCTTATCTATATGTAGTTTAGATGTTATATTTCTATATCAGTAAAATGTCTATAGGATCAGGTGTGACCCTTTCTGACTTTTACATGGTACCATACTGTAGAAGCAGTATCAGTATAACTTATTACCGACTCTTTAAGATGTCCATACAAAACTCCTCGTGGACAGCATAAATTTGTATATCCAACACTCACAGTGGACTGTTCACATTGGAAATACAATCCTAATGCTTTACTCTACAATATTGATAGCTGAAATGACAGAGTTAAGAATAACGAGGACAGAGTTCAGTAAAGTGATGACAGTGTTGAACATCGGGATGACAGAGTTGTGTAGAGGGATGGCGGAAATGAGTATATGATAACGACGGTTATACTTAAAGCGAATGATGCTGATAACCAAGATGATTTGCTGATTGTGAAAATTTTTCATAAAATCATGATGTTTATGTTAATCATTCAATTGTTTATGTCAATCACATAATTAATAATAAATAATGAATTGAATTATGATGGTGAATTCCGGGTGTTACAGATGTTGTTTGGTTTGATTTCGGATAAAATATATTGCAGGTAAATATTACGGGTTCGACCACGACAAATACCAGCATGTAGTCACTCAGGAATGTCTGCAGGCTTCCGGTCATGCGCACTCAGATGGCCAATCTAAAACCACATTCCAAAGTCTAGAGACGTTCAACCCTTATAAGATAAATATGGGCCAGATGACGGTGTACAGGTAAGTATTCTGAATCGCTGATGATGAGGTGATGTGTTCGAAGCTAACTAACTCCAGTATAAATATTTTCTGTTTCATGTCTCCTCAAAAATATATTTTCGTGAAAATAACCGTAATTTCATATATAAATAAAACTACGTTTGCTTACATTTTCGAATTTATTTATGTTGCTTGAAAATTACAAAAAAAAAAATAAATAAAACCATAAAAGACGGAAAAATAATCAAAAGATTAAAAAAAAAATGTGTTTTCAATCACAGATTACGTTTAACATGCAAGTGTAGCAGCGTGCCTCACAACAGTACTAATCAACTGTGTAGCCGGACGAAACCGTTTGACCAGCAGCAGTGGTCAGCTTACATGGGGAGTAAAGGTGACAGCCACTGGAAACCACAATCCACCATCAACAAGATAAAAATCTAAAAACCGTAAAATTATATATTTTTTACATTCCCATTACGGCTGTGAAAAGTGATTGATTAATAAGCATGTAAAAAGATAAGGTAACATAATGAATAAGTAAAACACCTATCATTTGTTGATATCTATTACAGATCGAAGAATATGATATTAAATGTATCACTACATAACGATATAACTACAGATAGTAAATATAATGTTTTCATGTAATTAAATGGCACGAACAAGCACGTTCATATATTGTACATTCATTTTATATAAACACGGGTTGCCTCCCTTCTCATTTTATTTTGAACGAGATAGAATTCATGAATTTGGTATTATATATAAAAGATGTTCGAGATTAATTTGATATTAAATTAAGTGTTAAAATTTTCAATTTATTGCAAATTTTGGTAATGAGATATGCAATTAAAGAAAATAAGGGATGTGAGATAAAATGATCAGAACATTTACCATAAAAGGTGTACAGGTCTAAGCATATTAATTGTTTACAAACAGAATTGACACCTCCCTCATCGAGAAATTATCGCGTCTGGAGTTGTCCGATGACAAGCTGTTGATGTACATACATATTCAATAAAGTATCTATTTTCTGATTTTGTCTTATAATTATCTGTAATTGTTTGACATATAGTGAAATTGCTCTGAAACTCGTCTCATCTTAAATAGCTGAAGCATAAACGTCAAGTTTATAGGATTAGTTATCACTACATACAAACAAAACAGGTGTTTTACTGTTTAGTCCATCATTTAAACTGTATACTCAACGACCAAAGAATCAGAATTCAGAAATAACTTTCGCAGATTTCTGGATCTCGACGATTTTAACCTGAAATTTGTTGTTTGGTAGACTGTTTCAGAAATGTTGTGAAATGTATAAACTTCATGGTTATATTGTAAGGTTTAAAGCTACTTTTGGTTTTCAGTTTGAAACAATGGAAGAAAATGTAAACTTTAATAAGAGTCGTCAAGTCTGCTCAGTCAGAAATAAATGTATGAACGATTCAAACCTTTGTTCAAAACGTCTAAGAAGTATGATTCCACAAGACTGTTCAGAAACTTTGGTTTGGAGTTGAGAAAAGGTGTCAACTTAATTATTTCTAGTTTAACCTGATGTCTAACAGATTTCTCTCCCATACACCATATAACAAAAACCACAGAAAGCAACGAGATGGAAAATACATACATTCGTCGTTTCAATAACACAGAGAAATACATCGATATCCAAACTGATAAAATATGAAAATGAGACAATATAAAACATCATCTCGTATACAAACCAAAGCTTTAGAATATATAACAAGTGCTATGATAATAAAAGTTGGAATTTCATAAATAAGTCATTGAATATAACAAAATTAAAGAGGATGGTATCAGTACTGTACAAAAAACACTAAAACAACAAAGTGAATACTGTTATGTCAACAAATCTTAATTCAAACTTAATTCGATGAAGCCACGAATGGCTGTTAATATTGCATTACATAGCAAAGGACATCTCCAAGATTTTAAAGATCATATCACTATCTTACCGTGAAACGAGGACCGAAAAGGCCCGAATACAATGCATTATGCAATGATCGTCCTTACCGATGGATCATGTGACTTGGAAATGGAGTATTACCACCGTTAAGAAATTTTCCCTGGTGCAACCTCTTCCCATATATCACTCAACCTGATTCTAATTTGCCTTGAAAATGGATTGAAAATAATGTACAGTCACATGTGATAGCCAAGGTATTATATATATCACATTCACTCAGATTTACAGTAAGGGCACATTTTGCTACGAATAAACACAGATTTACATAACATAAGCGGGAACCTGTTCCCACATATCCCTGTTCACCATTTTGAAGATAGATTTCATCCAGTGTCCAGTTTAGTGACATATATCCAGGAAAAGAAAACGATGTCCCAAGTAGTTTTAAAACTACTACCAAATTCTTTTTATTTTAATAAAGTATACTTCTAAGAAGATCCTCTCAAACCAAGACTGCCGATGTTGTTTCAGACGATGCACCTGCAGTAATAACTGAAGTTTAGTGGCAATTTTGTCTTGTATACGATTGTTCATGCTAAAACTGCATTTGTGGTTAGTATCATACAGTAGTGCTAATATGATCATTACAAATTACACCTCACCAAATTCTTAAAAAAAAACTGAACAACACTCAAATGTATTGACATTTCAGTCGGTGCAGTCTATAACGACCGATGTAAACATTGTGATGTCATAAGAGTATTGATATTGCAACGATGCATATCTTTGTTTACGACTGTTGAGATTTTGAAACAGTATTACCTCAGTGCGTATGGCAAAAGCATGACTGTTTGATCTTAACAAAGATTTATATAGACACTCCTGAAAAACAAAATGAAAATACCACCAAGTGAATATAAGTATTATCCAAGCTCAAATTCGATAAAAAAAATAGGTACCAGAGAAAGATTTACACGGAGACTCTTGCAAAAAGCACAAGGAGAATAAGACCAGGTGTTCCGGACAGGTCAGCATCTTCTGCTTCACGACTACAACTACAGGACGAACCTTCTAGAAGATGTTTTCTTACACCATCTTACCGCCAAAAAGAAAAATAAAACTTACACAGTTTTCTCCCGAGCTACACATTGTCAGTCGTGTGTTAGTGGTGTAGTTATTATCCCTGTAGAGGATATTTCTATGTTTCAATAATTTCTGTTGATACGGAAAAATGTAAAACTAAAAACAAATCTTTCTCACTGTATGCATACTTTTAATTATTCAACAAATCTCTGATTATTGGGTTAAGTCCTTTTTGCGATAATATAATTATTTTCTTGTATAAAAAAAAAAAAAAAAACCCAACATTTTACCATGGAAATGATCTGTTTTGATTTGATACGACAGCTGAGCGCAGTATATTAACACACGTTTCGTTAGTCTCATAAACTATTTATGTGCGTTTCGTTATCACAACCTCAGTGTAAATGACATAAAGTCTGTGGTCAGAATGATCAAATGCAAACGCCTGTAGTTTATTGAAGTATTGGTCAATTATTTCGTTTTTCTCGTCTTCAGTTCTAGACGAAGACAATCCATGATAAAGCGAATGTTTCAACCATGGTTATATCCCAACTACGACTCCCTTTGAATATCCAACTTTTCATTCTTATCTAAAACACAAAGTACAAAATAAACAGAAACTGTGACCAAAATATATCGTGCTTACACCGGAAAACGAAAGTTAAACATGGTGAGGTTGTAGGGATATAATAGGATATCCTATTGTAAACATCATTTGTTTAAAATCAAAAGAAGATAACGCAAACAGATATCTAGCATCTTGACATGGTACACACATTTAAGATTTAAAGAGATAGTGTACTGCTATTGTGTTTTTATATATTTAAAATCCCTTTAAAATTGTAAAATAGCTACAGCAAGAACGAACTCTGAAAAATAAATATTCATCGAGATATTTAACGTTGTTTGAAAAACACACCTGTACGGAATAAGCATTGACCCCGTTTTGAGTCCACGCAGATCTGTGACGTCACAAGGTGAACACGATTACCGCGGGTACGTTAGTCAGCCATATTTGTTTACATACAACTGACGCGACCGAGCGATTATATTCCATGTTTGACAGTGGATATGGTGTTTAATTGGGTTTATATAGTTACGGAAAAGTGACAACAGATAATGAAGGGCAACGTCTAGAGATTACGAGGTTTCGCAATGAACGAAAATAAGGGGCGAATAGTAGGTAAGCGATGGGTTTGCCCTTCATTTATTACCTACACTAATGCCGATCTGTGTAAGATGTGGACAAATTTTGTTCGAAAGAAAAGAGACAAATGGGACGGTCCAACAAAGTACTCGGCTATGTGTGAAAAACACTTTGAAGATGGCTCATATCCTATGAAATACGCCATTCTTCGTTCGATGGGTCAACCCCAACCCCCACAAGAAGAAAGTTCTTAATGCCGACGCTAACCCCACCATACAGACGGCAGTTCAGGCTGAGCCCATGGATGATGTATCCCAACTTGCGTCCACACTGTTTGTATCTGCACCTTCATGAAATGTCATACCAGAAGGGTACGTATTGGGACGAATTGACATAGGCATTGTTTGATTCACATTTATTTAATTTTTAAATCTAGTACATTTAAAGAGTACAAACATTTTCTAAATGCCTAGGAAATTTGAACAAATTAAATATTAGCAGATCTTGCCATCTACAGATAACCTATTTATTTTATTTATTATTATTTTTTGTCCTTTTCTTTGTGTGTGTGGGGGTGTGCTTTGATTGACAGTTAACTTAGTTAACTTGAGATAAGCTTAGGTTTTACATTTCATTCTACATTGACTTTTAATTAAGTATGTATATAATATATAAGGAAAAGATAATAACAAAACCTAATGCATAAAAATATGTCCTTCAGTCTGTTTTGTTCTGACAAATACTGAATGGTTTATGTTATGACCATTGCTGCAATTGTATCCAGATCCAATTTTTTGAGACTCTGTCAGATTAAAAATTTGAATTTAAATAATATATCAAAAGAAATGTGAATTTGTATTTATCTTATAATATTTTCTACAACCATTTCAACATGTGCCTGTGTACAGGTTTCTTACTGTTCCGGCAGTGACCGCCAAACACATTAATTAAAGACAACAATCCATTGAAATGTTTTCCTTTTTTATTACAGATTATGTTCAAGAGCTGCTACAAATAACGGTCAACGTGGCAACAAATACCAGAATGACTAGAACACAAGATGGTCTGGTGGATACACCCCCAGCACTATGCAGCACCTTTGAACGGCCTTCAAAAGTGGAAGCTGTGTCATCAGTTCAGTCACGTTTTGCTTAAAAGTAGTCCGACATTCATAATATCTTAATTTACATAAACATTCAGTCTACGTAATTGAAGCCCCTCAATTCTTCATCATCACCAGACGGGAAAGTCTGTCGTATGAGATTTACAGCCCCAGAAAACCCCAGCACCACAAGTTGTCGGTAGGCATTGTAGCGGTTTCACCTGAAAAAGGATAAACAAGAAATACAGATGCATTGTCATTATTTTTTTGATATTCTGAATTATAACAATCTCAGCAATAATCCTTCTATGTTAGGTGGGACACCGGTTGAACTTGGTAAATGATGTGTGATATTGGATAGCAGTTACTTACGCTGACTCTGGTATGTTGCCATTATGGTACTGTATAAAGGTTTGATATGCTGTAAGCAACACATACACATCTAGGCAAACGGAAGCAAATCAGGGGTGCTGTGTGATTCCATTTCAGCTGTGAAACTCATCCTTGATGTGTTGGAGTTGTGCAATTTCAAAGACATTCAGTGACTGTCAGCATGTCTCAAATTTTTCACCTTTGCACCTATAAAATAGTCATCCTGAATTATGTATAACGCATAAGCATTGTTAGAGATGGTTATTGAAAATTACATTTGTTATTGAAAATTATGTTTGTTATTGAAAGTTATATTTGTTATTGAAAGTTCCTGTCTAAAACCAAATAAATTCCTAGAAATACTGAATTTTTGGGTTGTCCTTATTTTCTATTAGATATTCTATGTGTTATTTCATGTGTTCATCGCATCGGTCAAAGGACATTTTTTCAACAGGAATTTTAATATGAAATAAAGTTGATTTTGTGAAGGATTAAATAAAAAAACCAACACTAAAACATAATCTGTGTTTGTCCCTAGCGACTTTTCAGCTTGTCCATGCTGCTCTGAAGTTATAATCTGTGTGCTCCAAGCAGAATTTAGTAGTTTTGGTACACATACTTTGTGGAGATTGAGATCAGGCCTATATTGACATAATGTTTAGTTCATGTACTAATACCACAGCCAAATTATTTCGTGATACTTGCATAATTTCAAAGAAAATGCACATCTAAGGAAATATAACACCATGAAACTGATAATTAATTGTTGGAAAAATACATATTCAGTGTAGATGTTAGGTTTACAACATCGCATATCCTTTATGAGACAAGCCGACAGAGTTCGGGATTACCCACCTTGCAATATAGTTCTTTAGTTCTGCAGGTTGCCTGGTTCATTTATGCTATAACATACATAAAGGCGAAGTTGACGGTTCCGTTAAAGAAAAAAAAATTAAGGCTCAATAAAAATTACTTCGGCCGTAAAGGCCGTTGGTATGAAGTATTATTATGTTTACCTACCATTCGGTTGAGCCAAAGCGGTCCTCGACTGCCGATTGCGGATTGCCACTTTCTTCATCGTCGTCACTTCCTAGCTCTGGCTCAAAACGATAAAGTCGAATACCTTCAGAATCCTCCACTTCAAAATCAGAAGAATATCCCATCTGAAGGTCGCAATCCGATTAAGAGTCTTCTTGCCCATCGCTGTAGGTATCCATGTTGAATGTGTTCAACTCATGACGTCACGATTTCATGTGCACTACACTACACACATATCCGCCGGCTCTGATTTGGCTTTCCCGGGCAGGTGCAAACTGGGATGATTGACAAGCCATATCATCGGTCGGAGTGGATCAATTTTCACGTGGTTTTCGACATTTTGTTATTTAGATTATAACGTCTTTCTTATACAAATATTGTAGAACGGTACACTAACACTTTAACAAATAAAAAAACTTATATTTTAAGAATGTTTTCGGGTCGAATTGTTCTTTTATTAGATTTTTTAAAGGAATATTCAAGAATCAAATTTAGAAGAAAGACATTGAAGTGCTGCTGTACTTTCTATTTCTTAAAGGTTGTCAGAATCTATTTAATTGAAACATTCATTTTCATTAATTATGTTCGCATATAGAACCGGTATCAATCATATTATCTCAGGGAAATCTATTCTTGTACACAAATTTCTTCCCTCATTAAATATAATTGATCAACAAAAGGGAATGATAAGGAACATGGAAATTCTTGTTATACAATGTATATGAATGAAGTTCCTAAGTGAACAATATTTTGTAGCTGATTTTGTAGCTGCAAAGTGACCTAAAGGATCAGTTTGCTTAATGTTTGATAATTTCTCCTAAAAAATCACATTTGAAATACCAAATAAAATATTTCATCACTGCATTACATTGTCGTTCCTTCGGGTGTAAACGTTTACATTTTTTTCTTCTCCCAACATTTTCAACCTACCTTTATTTAAATCTGATAGACATACAATTTTGTGTTTTCTATACAAGTAATTTTAGATATCTTTAGTTGAAATCCTGCCTTTTGAAAAAAATGATAAACTCCACGTCGAAGTTTATGAATTTTCTAATATAGTTATGAACATGTTCCTAACTGACTGCAGTCTTGTTAGACAGGTTTTTGAAAATTATGCTTTATCCAGAGAATTCTCCTCTCAGTCTTAGACAAATCGTTATGTTTTTTTTTGTTTTGTTTTTTTTTTTTTTTTTTTTTTTTTTTTTTGTTTTTGTTTTTGTTTTGTTTTGTTTTTTTTTTTTTTTTTTTTGTCTTGTCCTTTTTTTTCTAAATTGCCAATGCCCTTTTTCCGTTTTATTTTATCTTGTAACGAGTCTTGTTTTCTTCCAGTATTTACAACTTCATTCCATAAATCTGACAGACTTTATCATAAAGACAAAATCATGCTTTCTCAGAAGTATTTGGATTGAACAAGTATTTCATTTCAATGTCTATACGGAGTGAACAAGTATTTCATTTCAATGTCTATACGGAGTGATTTGCATTTTGATAAGATAAGAGCTCTAGGCAGGGCAATCATTCTCAATGTACATTTGTCAAATTCGTTTTAAATAAGAACTAAGGCAATACAAGGACAACAGAAATATGTATAAAGAGTATGAGGAAAATTACTGACAACACCCGGCATGTAAATCTAGACCAATGGGTAATTCTATATTCCGAACTTATACAAAGGCAAGAACAGCGAACTATCAGAAATTTCAATCGTACATTTAACACGTCCAACATCATATCGCGCAATATATTTGATTTATACCAATGATTATCGTAAACCTTTTCATTCTCTATTTTTTCCTCCCAATTTGTGGTCGTAGTAGTGTTAAGACTTTTTTTTTCTATGGGTTAACGTATCTACAGATTATGAACAATGAAATATCAACATAAGAACTACAGCTCAACAGAAAGGGATAATGAAAACAGACATTAAAATGTAGAAAAATAGTTGAAGGTTTGTCGGTTTTTGAAAGTCCATACATGTAAGCATGCAAATAGTATAAGAGTCAATAAGTTTACAAACGACGGAAGTACTTCGAGGTTGAAATGCCAAATTGAAATATTATTACCTTTGTTGACAACATCAAATGCAGAGTTTTCCAAATGTTTTCACGGATACAACCTCCAATACGACTGACCTATTAAGTAGCTGACAAATCCGTTTAAATTTATCATAGGAGCCTCCTTTCTAACAAAACGGCCAAGCTTGCATCAGAAATGGGTGCAAATTTCCAGACTCTTAAAGAGTAGACCGTTGATGATGATAGAGATGATGTTAACGAAGGTAGTGTTGATGGCTGGTAAAACAAGCTACCATATAAGGGAGAGGGATAGACTCCACAGCTATTATCAATATGGATGATACTGGACTTTATCATGACACAACAAGGAAAACACAGAAAGCAAAATGTCCTTAATGGCTTAACGTGTCGGTGGAAAACACAGCAACATCTGGCTAAATGTAATTCCAGATGTTCTTTTCAAGGAAGTGAAATATCATTTGTATTATCATTTGTAAACCATCCAAGTTATAATGTAATCTATTTTGGACAGAAGTACAGTAATGGTAACGATGGTATGTGTTGTATGATTATTGATTATACATAAACGGTAAACGTCTCTATATAGGTCACCTGCTCTTCTGTAACTTGAGACTAAGAGTTCTGTTTTGAACTTTAATCAATTTGGCCCTATTTTGTAGACTAAAGTGACTTTGCAATTTTGGTTTATTTTGGCTATAAAGAGTTTCTTCAAACGTTCCTTAACACTATGCGCCAGTAGACAAAAGATGATTGCAAAGCATCACCTTTGACTTCGACCTAAGTGATTGGGCAGGTGAGCAATCCGATCAATATTTCAGTGTACGCGTTCATTTCGACCTCGTCAAACTTAGTATGATTGTGAACACAAGTAATAAGTACCAGCAAATTTTTACCATAATTTCGTGTCACATACAATCATCATTCGCACAAGAATAAGAAATGAAAACATTTGTCAAATTAATCAAGTATTAATTATAAATATGAACTTTCGTCTAGCATGCAACTTTCATGAGACTTAATAGCATAAGTTTATATATGACCTTACATACTTGACCTCGTCAAGGATTCTTCACTAGTTATCTTTAATATTCAGAGTTTACTCATTTTGAACTAGTGTCTGATAACCGAGAAAAGAAGCAAATAGAGTATACTTTACTTGATACATATACTTATTGTGTTGTTAAATCGTGTACACATACCGAACGGACATGATGCAATTTAATAATTATACAATAGTTTGTCAAATCCCACTACTGAATGGTGGCTGATACGCTGTATATAAAAACAAGCATTTTATTTATTTCCTGTTTTCATTTTTCTTAAAACGGACAAAAAAGAAAGAAAAAAACCCAGTAAAAGTGTTAATAAACATGTTTTTATACATATCTTTTGTTGGGAATCAAACGAAAATAATTTCAATTTCCTTAATCTTTTAAAATGATCTTCGCCAATTTAACAAATGGGGTCTCAATGCTTTCAGTAATGTAACTTGTAAATGATTGCCCTTTACAAATGCTATTCCAGGTCGAATTTGATTGACATCTGTTCATACGTACTGAGGGAGAAGTATTTGATAGCAAAGGTTAACGTCGGACGACGCATGACGACAGACAATGCTCTGTGACTTCAGGTCAGATGGCTCAAATATTCCCTTTTTAGTTATCGTATTTGTTGCAACCCTGGTCCCTTATTCAAGATAACTAAAGAACGTCTTACTTAAGCCCTCCAAAATAATCGTCCTCGAACGATCACAAACGTAGCCGTGAACATAATACATGTCATCCTTTTCGTTAGGAAGTCTAATCTAGACACAAGACAAGAAAATAATATGAGTTCTGTATCAGTCTGAATAGCTACTGTCAACTATATAGATATTGGTTTGTTATTCTGCACGATCTGACAACTTGAGACCATGGATGTCCGTCAGCACGATAGATTCAACATATAAAATAAATCAACTCCAACATCATTACATGTACCTAATGTTCTATAGAATAGACAAAGCTGATAAAAATACTCATACCTTGACATGTTATTCTGAGACGTATTCCAATACACAAATGTTTCTGGTGAGAGACCAGTCCCAAATATCTTCCATTCAGTGTAGGTAACAGATCGGCAGACATTTATGACTTGGCAAGTTAACTTGGTGTGTAAACTGCATCCGACTTGACGATGAATAATACCTTCCCAAACTGTTGCTTTTTGTAGTGCAGTATAGTTAGCGCATAACATCTGTTCATTGAAGCGACTTTAAGGCCATAGTACACTATGTTTTCGCTATGGTATATTTCTACCACTATGATAGAATGTAGGCTGTATTTCACTGAACGTTGCCCTCCCTACGCCTACGTATATTATCAAAGCAAAAGACTTACAACACCTTCTAATGTCTTTGGGTTGTTTATTTGTTTAAAACTTTTCACGTCCTCACAACAGCAGGATACACATGATCCATAGGAAGACGTCATTGAAAGACAAATTCTACAACAAAAGTTTCGGTAAGCAATTGCAAAAAGGGACGCAAATCATCTTGGTTTTCTTCAATGATGGGGGGGGGGGGGCACTGAGAAATTTGAAAACTCTTTAGAAATGTGAAATGCAATTATGCTATTTGAGAAATGTGGAACACATTTTGTTGTCGGAGAGATATCATTTTTGATTTTGCTTCACCTCCTCAGTATTGAATGTCATTTAGGACATCAATAATTCAATCGGCTAGTGTAATTGAAAATTAGATAGTTGATTTTGTCACGAGTACAAGTTAGTAACAATAGCAAATTATTCAAATAATTTCTTAACAGCATACTAGAACTCAAGAGAATAATACAACACATTTATTGTGCGATCACCACATGACAAAACATTTTATTAACAATAGCATACATAGATTCGTAAATACCAAAGATCACAACTATAACAATATTCTGTTTTCTTTTTCCATTACTTATAATCCCCTGAAGACAGAAGTTGGAAGGAATAAATGGATGCTACCGATAAATATATGTAAAGTCAAAACGTGTTCGTCACATGAGAAATTTCAATTCATCGCACTTACCTCTTTGCTATTATCGTCTTCA